GTAAGCCTGCTAACTAAACCATCGAGCCATGTGTACTGCTGGCCTTTAACAACACCAGCTTACAAGCATTATTCTCACTACTCCCTCTCCGTATTTGTCACATCGCTGTCTTCTTCAACCAAGTCTATTTTCAGAAGGGTTTCTTCTCACATATCTATACAGAACAGAACTAAGTCCCAACATCAAAAATTCCAAGGCCAAAACCCCTAGACCAAAGCCATTTCAATCTGGACCTCACTGTCCAAATTCGACTGAAGCCCAGACACCTTGTCTGAAACTCCCCTATCTCAGTCCATCCTGATGCGTGACAAAATCTCACTGCATCTTCAGCCCGCAAAGCAGGCTGACATCCCCCAAAGGAACAAACAAGATGACATTCCAACACTATTCTGAAGAGAGCATAGGTTTGGGCATCTGTGCTCTGGACTACTTCCAGCAGCACTGCAGCCATATCTAGACAACAAGATTTTCATTGAAAGGTCCAAAGCTAGTACCAGTTCGGAGACAGATGTGCAAGCATTTTAAGAAAGGGAGCCTAGATAAAAAGTGGCATTTGGTTACTCCTTACAAGGAAAGGAATTTGCTCCTTTTACATGTAACTGACCTGTATGAAACAACCAGCCTCTGGAAATATCAAGTTTTTCAGTACGTTGCCACTTGCCAGCTCCTGTGAAAAGGACTATGCCGTGGGAACAGCTGACTCTGGTTTTCCTCATCCTACACACAAAGTTAATTCTACATGACAGCTACACTATCAGCTCTTCTGACAAAGGCATCTGTCTTAAGCAACTACTTAACATCTCCGAGTAACGTCTAGAAGGCTGAAGTGGGCCTGGTGGGGTCACTGTGCTTTGGACATACGCACTCAGGTAGGCGCAGTCCTACTAGCAGGACTCGCTGAGGACCACTCCGACCACTCGCCCCAATATGCGAAGGGCACCGTGGTCCCTACAGGGGAATTGCTGTAACCTCCCTCCGATGCCACCGGAGGCGCTCCTGGACACTAAGCAGCAGTTTCTTGAGGACTGCAGACCTTGATGCCTTGCTAAGATTACAGTAATTACCGTACAGGCGATAAGGTATTTTGGTTTCAAGAATGCACCAGATACCCACACAGAAGTTTGAGGGTCAGGATACTACCGTTTGTCAGAGCAATTTACTTGCATAGTAATTACAAATTCTCATTATGGTCCCAGTCCCACTACTGCTTCAAAACAGTGTTGGTCAAGGGAAGAATACTTAAGCTCTTCCCTTTTGGCTCTAGTACCAAGCCTTTCCATTCGCTGCTGTCATGCATGAAAGTTAGCTTTATGTAAAATATTTGGACAACAAGACTTGACTTATTTTTTTAAAAAAGGAAAAAAAATACAAACAAAAAACCCAGGAAGACTCCAGAGACCTTGCTGAACCAAGATAAGACACTGTCTGTCCCACTGGAGGAAGTTAATGCAGGCCGAGCATTATAGTATCGTACAAACTGACAAGTAGCCTGCCCCTCCATCTTCTTTGCTTTGGCTATTTTAGGAGCAGACTATTCTATCAACACTAACTTTCTGATAAAAAATTCTAGGCATGTTAATTCCTACCACACAAGCATGTACTTTACGTAAAATACAACTAGCTTACAGATGGAATGATAACAAGAGCAAATTAACACTTACCAAGTAGGATTTCATCCAATATTCCTTCACTGACAACAAGACTACAGAGCAGCAGATGTCTCAGGTTATTTGGGCAAAATAATTCCTTAATTCACAGCTTCCCCATATCGATCACTTAAAGATATGTAAATCACAGATCAGAGACTGGTCCCTACTCCAAGAACAATTCTGTAATTGTTGATGGCTGTTTAAAGTCCTACCAATAATTGCCCTGACCATCAGGCTAGGGAAAAGGCACATCGTGTCCTACTCGCTGAACCCAACTGTTCACGCTCCAGAACACCTATTAATGCTCTTTTCCATGACCTGTCAATACCTGGCTGCTTTGTAAACAAATATGATCTGTTTATCTCACAATATGGAATTAAAAAAACCCCACACATTTCCATGGGGCAAGACATTTTTTAAAACCATTCATGTACGGATGCACAACTATAGTATAGATGTGCTCACAAATGGTATAACATTTGTTTTATCGCATGCCAGAATAATCAGGAGAGTCTCTAAAGTCTAAAACTGTTTCACATGGTCTTTGCATTAGTATGATGAGCTAAAGCACAGAACATCTAGATCAAGGGTCAGTTTTCCTCTCAAATGAAATCTCTTTCCCACAGACCATCTTTGAAAAGAGTTTTCTCATATTACATTTCTGAAAGGCTAAAAAATTCAGATGCTCTGAAGGCCTGTAGCACAATTCTAGTTCATACTTTAAGTCATCACTGGAAAACACAGAAGTGACTGGATTCGAGGAATATTCCAAAAATAGAACTCCACTTCCAATGACATTACTGAACTCCTGAGCGAGCAGCGGCTCAGGGACTACTGAGCTTTTCTTTGAGAATGTGAACTCTGCATTTTACACAAGTTGATAACTCCACTCTCACTTTACTAAACATAAAAGCGGGAAGAGATGTAGGGGTTGCCAAGCTTCTTGGTTTAAGATAGTTTAAGACAGTTTCAGATACCGAGTGTCAGTCTCCATCCAGGTAGGAAAAGTATTTCATCTTGATTTCAAAAGAGATATTGGTATTTGACAGAAGCAGCTTTGGTCTGTTTCAAAATTCAGAGGTAATACCTATTCCTTACTTTTTTAAAGGTGTATTTGGAGAAAGTTATGCCTTCTCCAGATGGAAAGTGGCAAATACCTTGACCATTAAAACAAAACCAAAAACCTGAACTTCTAATGCATTCTCTACCAGAGTGTAGAGTAACCGAACAAGCAAGGTGGTCTCAACTAACTGAACAGAAACCAGCCATCATTTCGCCCTTCCCTAACTTCCCTCTCAAATTGGAGGAGTCCCCAAACCCCCACACTAAAGCAAGTCACACAAAGCGCACCGAGAGTATCTGCACATGGACCTGCCAGACGCAGAGTCACCAGGGGACCACAAGTCTCCACGTCACATACTGAGCTCCCTGCCCAACAAGCTTTATATGCTTAACTAGCAACTTTGCATCACGGACCACCTGTGGACCACAGACGTCCCACAGTGTGGTCCCCAGCCCTGCCTCCACAGCAAACCCAAGACAATTGTTGTACATGAAAAGCTTTTTTTACTTTAGCATTACTGATGAACTTCAACATTAACTTTTTCCCCCATCTGAAAGATCAAAGCTGGCTAACTGATTATGTGTCTTAGTGTTAATGAGCTGAACAGGCGCCAAGCCTACTTAACAAAAGCAACAGTACTCTGTTGCTGCCCCATACTCATACAGTGTTAGTTTATCTGAAAGAGGAAAGTATAGTTCTGAAAATGAGCCTGTAGTTAATGTGAGCCTCACACAACTTTGTCTCAAACAACTGTTCATCCAACAGAAATACAGTGAAACTTTCTACTTAACATGAGTTCATACATACGGGCTTTACAGTGTAATCTTCCTGAAATCCCATGCACAACTCCGGAGCAGGGAAAGAAATCAGTAAAGGATGGAGACAGAAGTACAGAACCTAGCTCTGCAAAACTGTACTTCTCTTTCCATCCTTCACTGATGGGGCCGAAGAGAGCCTGGCCTGCTCCCGACTCTGCAGACGATGGTGAGCTCGCAGCAAGCCACACATTTCCCTGAACTCATCCCCATCATGTAAGACGAGTTACATAAACTTGCTCCTGATTGCTACCAAATTTAACAAACATGGCAAGAGCTAAATCAGGATACAGTTAAGAGTTTCGAATACACCGGTGGTTTTAGATTTTGCTTTTTCTCACATTACATCATGCATTCAGGAAAATTTCAGCCTGTCGCACACTACAGCCAGTCACAACTTCAACTTACTGCCTGTGTACTGTACCACAACACCACACATACGCTTGGCCAAAGCAAAAGCAACGCAGAGTTTCCTGCATTGCTCTTCACTTACGACTTCTCCAGACTTGTGACAGC